TTTTCCTTTTCCTTGTAAATACAGAGAAGGTATGTGTGATTTTAATAACTTTCTTATAATATTCCATAGCTTGCTGAAGGAAAGTTGTAATTATAACATTCATTATGACAGTGAATCAGTTTTTCTACCCTGTGTACAGTGGATATGAAGGCTAATGTCYTCCCAATGCCATTGACTTGGGGGTGCTAAAGGAAGTCTTGTGAAGGAAARTCTTCTCTTATCACTTGGCATTTCTGACTTGCTAATCTGATTTCAAAGAARAATTATTTATAGGTGTTCCTGGTTCAGATCCTGCCGCTTGATGAAGTTGATGTCAAAGCATGTGCAACAGTCACTGGATGAGCAAGTCAAGCTTGTTGAGTTCAGGTCCAGAAATGCTAACAATTTACTGATTTAGCAGCTYTCAGATGCCAGTTAATAACCAGAGAAATAGGAGCCCACTCAAAGTTATTGGGTTGGACATTCTGACTTTCTTCTGTACTGGTGCCAAAACCCAAGTCTGGGTGATGTCCCAACTCAACAAATCTGGGTAAATTATTTTATTCATTTGATGTTTCTGGCAACATAAACTGATAAACAGCCTGCATTTCCTCCCCATTCAAACCCTCCCTTTACTTCCCATTGTTATTTAGTTGACTCTACTACCCACCCTGTGTCTCTTGCAGCACAGTCTGACCAAGCAGGTGACACGGTGAATGAAGGAATGCAACTCAGGCTACTTTTTGTGTGCCTGTCCAGCTTCTTCCTGATAGCAAGTAGGGAAGTATCAGCAGTGATAATCTGTACTCAAACACATCATACTTGCTTGGGGAAACCATGGGAGTGGGCACAAGCTCTATGGTGCCCTTCACATAATCAAATGATAGAGAAGGTCTGCACAATGAACAGAATTGTTAGCATTTTCCAGATACTTTCCTTGTGCCCCAAATCAAATTTCCAGTTCAGGTGTTAAAAGTCTGTATTCTTGACAAYGCATGAAGTGTATTACAGGAACTGTGGTCACCCAAAAAAACAGACAAAAGTTTTCATTAGTTTTTTTGTTTGTTTGTTGTTTTTTTTTTAACCAGCTGTAGAAAGCCATCTCTCAGGAATATTCACTCAAATTGTTCAAGTATTGACTTGATGAAGTCAATAATACTGGCTTATTCTTATTTAGTCCTCAGTAGCAAAGGCTTCACTTTTATGAGGCTTTTAGGGAGTCTGCTGGTGATACAGCTGGGTATGCCCACCAACAGAAAGCTCCTGGTTTGCAGGGAGGTGAAAATCTTTCGGGAGAGCACAAGATTTGATTCTGCATGGCTGKTGTCAGCACTCAGAGCCCACGGGATCAGTTGGTCAGCTTGTCTGCCCCCGTGGCCAGTGGCAAACCAATATTCCTCAATGGTAACATGGACTGTACATCAGTTCTCTGGAAAAAAAAGTGTCCACAAAGGTAGGCCACTTGCATCCTGTTGGCACAGTCCACATTCAAGGTTGTTCCTATTTGGCTCCATTCCCTTGAAGAGATGAGGAGCAGCTGTGCAGGAAGCAAGTGATAGCCACACCACCTAATCCTCAACGTACAAACAAGGGGTGAGCTGCACAGCCTTGATAAAGGCAGGCATGATAGTGCTGAAGTCAATTCACTTCACCTGCATGACCCCACAACCCAAAGAGGGGCTGCCACAACTGGTGGACAGGCTGSAGGTGTCACATAGCTGGGATCTGACTTCCACAGATGCCAGTATTGCAGAAGCTTGTGAATGAAAACTCAAAACATTCACCACTTAGGCAGCAGCCCTACAGATTAAAAAATAAAAGRGGGCTGTTCCTGTCTGAAAACAGAGGTATTCCAGTTTTCTGGAATACAAAAATATTAAAATATTTTGCTACCTTTATTTCATTATAAAAAGGTTTTAAGCCCTTTTCTACTTATTATTCTAACACAATTACATGTGGGGTTGTTCATTAATTTTTCCATTTGCCACTTATCAAAGAGTGGAACGCTGACTTTTATTATTTTATTGGTATAAGAGAAGGGGAAAGGTATTGCTTGTCAGCTTGCTTTTTGTGAATATTTTTAATTTTATTTTACCAGCTTTGTTGATATAGATGCAATTTATTTATGCTTTMATAGGATAAATATAAAAGACCATGGATACTATTGCAGTTCTGTCAGGGGTTACAGAAGGAGTTTCCCACAAGGCGCGTACAAGGAGCAGGCTCGTATTTGTGATGAGAATTAAAGCTCAGCAGGTGTGAACATTAATGAATCTGCCCAAGTCAGAGGGCATTTCAAARCCCATGGAAACTCACTGTCTCATGAACAGAGCAGGTGTCTCACCCATGAGACATGAGTGACTCTCTGTCATGAACTCACACTTCCATTGAACTGTTGTTCCACAGCCTTTTGTTGTCTTCTAGCATCTGGAAGAAATGGGGACGCCCAGGCACAGCCTGATTTTGGACGTTTTTCTATAGACCCTGGAAGTGGGATTTAATTGCCTGAATACAGTGCCATTGATAAAGGCTTGTGCGCCTTTAAATGTCCCAGGATACCTGASTATCATGAACAGAATTTGTGTCTTTCCATCTCTGCATCCACTGACCAGCTATCCAGTGCCAGATACTTGCAAAGGACACAATGTGCCTGTGTTCTTGTAGCTKTATCCCTAGGGAAGAATAGCAGGATACCAAGTTTGATGCTGTAAATATTCCCCAGGAGGAGCTTGATTCCTTGCAGTAACTTCAGAGGGAATATGGTCTTCCACCCCAGGTTTCTGTGCTGAACTCTGAAGCTGCTTTTGCAACTATTCACTGCTRCTGCAGAACGGGCCAGCTGGGAGAAGGCAGCAAGCCTAGAACCTGGTGATGGCTCAACTGAGCCAGCCACARCACTGCTGAGGCCTTCAGCAGTGGTTCTATCACTGCAAGGGTTATTAACACATTGGTCAGGCAATGAGTTTGGAATTTACCCAAAATTTTCAAAAGCACACCCATTGCTTTCCTGCCGGCATAAAGATGCTATCATAAAAATCTGTGGGTTAAGTACCTCTTCCAGTGTAATATTCTGCATACAGCTTGAGTAACATGCCTGAAAAATCTAGCTGCATTTACCTCCTTGGAAACCTGGAAGTTAGATCATTCTCTATGACTTTAAAGAGCTGTCTTTCTGGAAGGCAGTGCAGTGGTTTGATGGCAGTTGCCCTGTAGGAAGCCACTGAACTACAGCACAGGTTGAACACAACTCCACAGAAGTTAGGAGATGGGGAGTTGCAGTCAGTGAAGCTAAGGCTTAGAGTTACCTCAGTGTTGGTAGAAATAAGACTTTACATKTCATTATTAATTGTCTAAGCTATTCACCATCTGCCTTTCATTACCAGGATAAACCCATGTAACCAAAGATTATGCAATTCTCCTTTGGAAAACACACTCTGTATTTATTATCTCAACAACATTATTATACACCAACTAAGTAAACTAATATTCTTTCAAATTTATTACTTTACTGGTCTTCAGTAGAAAAAGTTACTCTGGTACAATGAACGGATACGTCATTGGTGCATACGGATGCGTCATGAAATTGAGAATCGATTTCCAGCTTTGCTTAAGTGCCTCTGTAAGGACAGCGGAGCTTTCAAATCTAARAAACAGCATTCAAATTAAACTTTCAGCTTCTTAGTTGAATAACCATTTTGGTTTATTGCATACAATMTTTTTAATCAATAATGTCAACACTCATCTGAGCAGTGCTCTACTACCTGAGTAGTGATCTCCTGAGCGCAGCATGCACAGAATGGGTCTAACAGCAGTGAGGTGGCAGTTGGGATTTTTTGCTGTCTAGGAGGGTAGAAATTCGTTCAGTATTACCTTAAGGTGTTTTAACTCAGTAGCAGGAAGTCTTTGCTTAGGRTTTCTTAATCCCTCAAAACTCTTTAGATCCTCTGATAATACAACTATGGGTCTAAAGCACCTATTTTAATTGTGAATGTTTTCTTTGCAGCCTGTTTGCTTTAGCAGGGTGTGGGRTGATCTTTTGCAGTTTTTCACCTTATTTGAAGCTAAAGCTTCACATCACTTTGTAGGGTACACTGGAATGATGCTTTTCTTGCAAATTTTTAATGGACATAGCATCATTTGATACAGGAAATTGTCCTAAAGATTAAACAAACTTTCTGTTCTTCTGGTCATTCTTGTTGCAATACTGCTTGAAAACATTTCCCACCTGCTGGTATTCTTTTGTTGCTAACAGAATGAAGTAATTTCTCCATCAGACATAATGTTTAATGCCTTTTATGGCATAGGACAAAACATTGCACTTGATGCAGCTGATCAGACTGTTGTGCTAAGGAACTAAGAGGGAGGAAAGGTGGGAGAAGCCACAGCCTCAGCATGCTTGCTAAACCAACCATGGTTTGTAATGGGACAGTGAAGCTGAGTCTCTGTGTGCTCTGTGTGCTCTTGTGTGCCAGGGAGGGTGTACAGTGAAATCCAGCACACCTTAGCAATCAGCTGACACTTCTGCCCTGCAGAAATTCACACCTGAAGGATGAGGATCCAACTGCCACCACCAAGGCATCAGACACAGATAATTTGAACTTGCTGATCCTTATGGGTCCCTTCCGGCTTTAAATACTCGATAAGAAAAATGCCCTCTCTTTCTGCCTTCTACATTTGGCATTATTAGTGACTTGAAAATGAAACAAATTATTTCTAATACGTGTACAAGATGCTTTAATCAGCTTAAAAGTTTTTTTGTTTGGTTTAAAAATGAATTTCAGAAACAATTTTTTTCCATGCTGATCTCATGACCAGCTCTTTTAACACAGTGAATTGCTTTCTTGGACTTAAAGCATTAGCGAGAAGATGATAGCAAAAAGGCACTAGTATGGAAGGATTTTTTATGAATGGACTTTTCTAGGATTCTCCTAAGAGTTAGCTGCATGCCCTCTGAATGCCCTGGTTTTGTTTATGGATCAATTTTCTTTTAATTTATAGGGGAAAAAAAAGAAGCAGCTAAGAAGGCACCCGTTTTCATGCAAGAGTACAACACCAAAGAGTGCAAGAAAATAAAATCCAAAGGCTTGCCAAAGACATACAAGAATTCAGGCATGAGACCTGCAATCATCACAGAGATCTGAAATGACAAGATAAGAAATCCAGTTCTGACTGGCAGCTATTCTTCAGGTAAAATTAGCTAAAACTCTGAAATATTTATTTCAAAGTGTTCATTTTTTTTTTTACTTAATGTGAGTTCATTGCCATTTTAACCACACAAAGCTCAGTGTTCAGAGAATGCATTCCACTTAGCTAAATTAAAATCTCAGCTGTGGCAGTTGAGAATGAGAAATTAGGCCCTGGGTTCAGCAAAGCATTGCCAAGGCAACAWTATCAAATCATGAGAAGCAGAACTATTCTGAAAATAGGTATAGCTTGAAATGAGGTTAGAGCAACTTTTTCTGAAGGTTGAAGTGAGACACAACATTCACCCTTTGCCTGTGAGTAAACAGCACCTACAGTACCTGCAGTATCTTTAGCCTCTATAGTGCATACCATCACCTTTGGGCTAGACATCCTATTGACTCTGTGTGACTCACTTTTTATGACCTCACCAATGAGATAACACCCTCATTCGATAAAAGACTATATCAATTAAGAAAAGCCCTGCTGCCTGATAACCTGATTAGGAGCTGAGTGCTCAGGGTGGTGGTGTGAGACCTTTCATTTCTAATCAATTCTGGCTTCTTGTTAGGCAGCTTTATGGAATTATCCAGCCTTTGGCAAACTTTTGTATGATGCTTACTGTACCTAAAGATAAATTACTCTTTATTTGTTCAATTTGCTGCAAGGTGGGGCCCATCTGCTTGTAGGGATCTATTCTCTTAAGACTTGGTGTCAGAGGGGTCATTTTTCATTTGCATGTCCTTTGGGCTCTCATATTTTTGCAATTTTTAGAAGCCAAAAATGAAAACAAAGCAGTAATGTAGAAACTTCCGTTTCAAGATCACAGATGTACATGCTGGTTTATAAGTTCTCTGACCAGCAACATCAGTTATTCATACAAAATTTGAGAAAMGTCCCCAAATCTAGGGCTGGAGGCAAAGTTTTCCTTGTCTACATAATACTGTAACTGTAGATGTTAAAATACATTCAGTATTTCCACAACATGGCCAAACCCTGCTGTGTAATTGCTGTCACACATCCCTATCACAAAGTAATGGAAAATTCGATATGCATTGTGAGACATACTGTTAGGGCTTGTGTTCCCTTTTCCAAGGGTGGAAACACCTATGGGAAAAAGCCATGTAGTTTACTTCATAGTTTGGTTCTCCTTTTGTTGCTCTCCTTTGGATTCTAATCTTCCACTAACAGGGCCATTAACAAAGTGCTGGGTAGGAAGGAGATGTGTCCCTTTCTTCTGTSTCAGTTTGAACAAGAAAAACGTCTGATAGTGCTGCTATAGATAGCAGTGAGGTCTTGCTCCTTGGCTACCAGCAGTGTTTTCTGGCAGGAGCAGGAGCTCCAGGCAGTGCTGGGAACCCTTGGTGGAGCACTGGGGCTCAGGATAAGTCTGCCTCCACCCTGTCTAGCATGCAGACAAACCAGAAAGGACTSTGCTGTTCGTTTTTCATTTGTTTGTTTTGGCAGTTTGGGGTTTTCTTATAGATTCAAGCCTATCGGTTTAAAACCTGTTGCTCAGCTGTTACTGAGCTGACTTTTGCCATTAGGATGACTAMAGTTTTACTTCATGAGCTGAGATCCAGTTTCCTCTGGCAGCAACCTTTCACAACTACTTCAGGTCTAGGTAATACTCCTCCTCTCTGTTCTTCCCTCCTGAGACCCCATGTGTAGTGCTGTGTCCACGTTTGGGGACCTCGGCTTAAGAAAGGCATGGACTGTTGGAACGAGTCCAGAGCAGAGCCACCAAGTTGATCACAGGACTGGAACACCTCTCCCAGGAAGACAGGCTGAGAGAGACGGGATTTTCAGTCTGGAGAAGAGAGAGCTTTGGTAACAGCTTAGAGAACCTTCCAGTACTTCAAGGGGGCCTACAAGAAAGCTGGAGAGGGATTTTTTATACATGCAGATAGTGGCCGAGCAAGGGACAATGGTTTTCAACTAAAAGAGGGCAGGTTTGAGTTATATGTTAGGGGGAAATTCTTTACTCAGAGGGTGGTGACGTACTGGAACAGGGTACCCAGAGAGGTTGTGGTTGCCCARTCCCTGGAAGTGTTGGATGGGACTTTGAGCAAGTTGGTCTAGTGAGTGGTATCTCTGCCCWTGGTYGTGACTTGATGATSTTTAGTGTCCCTTCCAATCAAACCCATTCCATGATTCTATAAAATATTAKTCCTCTGGGATATTGCAGCCATGCCTTACAATTAGCAGTTTAGAAACCTTCTGGAACATGAAAGGCAGCAATAAAATAAATCATTAGGTATTTATGCACCAAACTATGCATAGGGCCTGGGGGACAAATGCCATAATGATGTGCCCTGCCCAGAATTGTACCAGGATGCAAGGACATATGGCAATGAGAACATCATGTGCAGTTAGGACCAGGCACCTTGGAGATTATACTGATCATATCACATTATGCCATATTATATCTAGTAGACACATGTAATTATATTCACATGTATGTACAAGGAAAGGCATGGAGGAATGTGCTGGCAAGTACTGTAAAGAGGAAGACTTCCCCAATTAACATGGTTACTGCTAGTAGTGGGAAACCCTTCAGCTATATCACRGTTCTGCATGAATCACAAGCTGCTTAATAGTGCATTGCAATGGAGTCCTGAGCCATGACTGGTGGAAGATGTACTATCTGATTTATCCTGGGCAAAATGTCCAGAGGGGGTGGTAGCACATTAATTTAGATGAGCCATCCAGGGCATATCTTTCACTTCTTATCAGCTGTGCATGATAAACTGACCCCAGAGACATTCCAGTGTAAACTGAACTAGAATTATTTCAGACATAAAGACTTCTTATTTGCAAGGAGTAAATATCAGGGAAGAGTTGGCAAAGGACCTCGTTAGCAAGCAATGAGGATCGATGTATATTTATTGTGAAAGCTGCAAATGGAAATCATAGAGAACAGAGACCATTTCATTGCCTCTGAAATTAAGCACTAGGGAAATACTAATCAAAACTAGAGGGTTGGAGTCCAGAAGCTGTGGAGATCACTACAAAATTATACATACTCCATTCTTATCCTGCAGTTTTGTTTCTCCTACAAATACTGTCACTTTTTTTTCTTCCCCTCTCCCTCTGAAGTAATATGCCAGCTGTGCAAATGTTTGACCCTGTGAACATTCAAAAATTGATTGTGCTTTCTGGCCCTGCTGAACACAAGCCAAACCCTGTCTGCAGAAACAGCGTTTTCCAGAAGCTGTACTGAGTACATACAGATGTGCTCTTTACTRAGGGCACTTGCCAAATGTGTCCACTTGTGAAGTGTCCAGGAAAGAAATATTCCTGGTCAGTCAAAACATTCAAACCTTTACCATTAGGAGTTAGTAGAAAATATCCGTTCTTTAAATACTCATCATTTATTTACCATTTCTTTACATATTTATAATATGTGTTATACAATAATAACGTGTTCCCTAGTGTAAGTATCTGTTTTCTGGGTCTTTGGCCAATTTCAATCAAGTTTGGCAGATGAACAGATGTCTCAAGTTTATGGAAGTTTCTGTAAAGCTAGAGAAATTAGTTAMGAAAGAAAGGTAAAAGAAAGAAACTTTGGTAGGATATCTCTGTAAAAGACTTTCCACTTCAGGAAAAACTTCAGTATTAATTTACACCTTATTGCACAGGGAATCAACATGAAAGCTTAACATCAAAATGTTTATATGTTGGAAACAAGGCTTAATTGCCCCACACATTCCAAAACACCTGACCTGAGGGGTGGGTTTTGTGATGTCTAGTAAGATGAGTATATTGACTGAAAGCTGCGACATTCATAATTTCTTCAGTTGAAGGAATAACATTAGCATAGTTCAAATAAAATTCCATTTACTGTAATTTAAGTTTCAGTGGAACAAGTAGACAGAGCCCTCTGGGAAATGAGTTTTTATTAGGTCCAATGGTTGTGGAACTATGGTTCAAAAATTTTTTTGCCCTGGAACTGAATGAATCCACTATGGTCATTCCTCATAGCACATTACTGCTCTGAGAGGGATGAGTGATTCCCCTTTTAGCTGTATAATTGGACGTGCATTTTTAGAGAATCTCAGACTAGTTGATGTTGGGAAAAACCTCTAACATCAGCAAGTCCAGCTGTCAACCCAGCACCACCATCACCACCGTGTTCACCACTAAACCATGTCTTCAAGGGCCATATTCTCAGGTCTTTTGAACACTTCCAGAGATGGTGACTCCACCACTTCCCTGGGCTGCCTGTTCCTATGCTTGACAAACCTTGCTGTGAAGAAACTTTTCCTAATATCTWATCTAAACATCCCCTGGTGCAACTTGAGRCCATTTCCTCTCCTCCTTTTATGTAATCATGTACTTTCCAATCATGAGTCATGAAGGCATTTTCAGCTCTACTGCTCTTTCTTCCCCATTCTTTGTTACCTCTGAGCCTGAGAGCATCCTGGTTGTCTGAAGTGGCTCTTTTGCTTTGTTTTGCCAATTGTGCACACCAGGATAATGTTTTTGCTTGTCTGCGGCTTTGAGAGCTTTGCTTACCTTCCTGCTTTCAGGTGTTGGTACCTGCTGTTCAGGTTGTTGAACTGCTATTTCTCCTTTGTAAATTCAGWCTGAACTTTAGGTTTTTCTTCTGTTCTGTAAACTGTTGATAATTCTTAATTTCAAAATTGTTTCTTCAGTATTCAGTAAGTTCTTCTGCAGTTTTCTCTTGGGGTCATGAGGTTATTTTGAGAGATAGAAAACTTGAGGAATGCCACCAAAATAGAAAAAAAGTTTCAGAGACAGATTCTTCTACCTGCATTCATGAACAGCAATAGAGCCCACACAATGCATCAGAAGTTACCATTATCAGATATARGCGTGTTTTCTCATTGTCTTGCTTTTCACTATCTCCAAGGTGGAAGAGAATCCAAGAAAACACCTCCACAACACTGTGCTGTTCACAAAGGTCCTGCATCAGCCCTCCTTGTCTCCCTGAAAACTCCTGTCTCACTTTCTTGCTGGAGCTGGCCACAACCATC